GACAGCACACAACCCACTTGTTTTAAAATAATATATTCAGGACAAGTCAAACGTATGTACAAAAAAGTTTTCACACTGTAAGTTGTCACAGTTGTATCCAGAGCTTTAAATAATTCTTTTACATCAAAAGTCCACAAAGACTGGTTCAGTTACCTTAAAACCCCATTAACAAGAGAAATACTTCTTCTATACTCTGTTATTACAATACAATCTGTGATTATTACACTTTAAAAAGCCACCACTATACACACTTTATGGCTAAACTCATCATTCAGTCTAAATTCACACACTTTCACTAACTTCCTTCTTTACTTGCACTCTATATCACCACATATTTATAAAATGCAACAGAAATATCTAAATGTCTAGCCCTCTAGTAACAACAATATTAAACATAAGAAAAACTTAAAAGCTTCGAGTAAGATGTCTACAATATTACAAAAGCCTAGTGCAACAATTCAACTGCATACACAACATATGACTTGTACAGAGTTATGTAACAAAACTTGTCATAAGTATCTCTTTTTAAAACAATTAACTTTTAACATTCTTGTTATGAAAACTAAATACTCATTGAATATTAGATCACTAAGTAAACTAAATAATAACAGTCTTGTTTATCCAACAGATGGGGGTCAAAGTGCACATCTCATGACATTTTGTAGAATGCCATTCAACATGGTATTATGTATTTGACTAGAGTTATCAACTATTGCTGATCTAATAACAGTTTATGGTAGAGGAGAGTGAATACCAGATACTGTATGCAGGGATACAAAAAAAATTGTAGATATGCATTTCAGAGGTTCTAGAGGTTATGCAAACTGTATGATGGACAAAAGTATTTTTATTATTCATATGAACATTACCTTACACTCAAACTTGTCTGAGTCAGACTTAATATGTCAATTCACAGACATATTTTGAGTACAAAAACTTGTAAGACGTCTGATTTTTACATGCAACAGACTTGTACATTTTACGAAAATCTTGCCACATTTCATGTAGATACATTCAGTACATTTTTAATTATAGTTAATATTCTTTTTGCAATATAAGAGCAGTCAATTAGACTGACCCAGTGCATATTTGGTTAAGTGCTTTAGGAACATCCCTACAATGGTATAGCATTAAGTCTGAAAGCTTATAACACTAAAAACTGGGTTTCAGTACCCGTGGTGGGCACAGCTCAGCTAGCCAATTATGTAGCTCTGTGCTTAACCACAAACTGCTTTAGAAACAAGACTGGTAAATCTGACATAAATGTCTGAGAATATAGGTTTACAATATATGTTACTTTTAAAAATACCTTGATGGTTGTTCACTAAAGTATCTAAAAATAGCAAATAAGATTATTGTTTACATTCAACTGTAAATTTAGTTTTGATTTTTTAAATTAGTATACAAATATCCAAAAAAATCACCTAAATGACTTTGTAACCAAACCAGTGTAAATGTCTCAAATGCACACCTTCTATAGTACAATGGCTTAAAATTAGTAGGACATTCTTTGAGACATTGTTTTTGTGAAAGCTCAAATATATTAGTTACAGTAGGTGCAAGTTTAGATCCCATTCTATAAATTCTAAGAAAAATTAGTATAAAGAGACTGAACATCAAAGTTTACTGTCTATGTACACATTTACATTGAACTTTATACTCTGTGCAGAATTCAAAAACTTGAATATATTTTTGACATAAAATGTTTTTTGGTTTATTCTAAAAAAATTCTAAAAATTGAATAATTAATTGTTTTAAATGTAAATGCTTGAAGCTATTACCAGAACATTTGCTTTATGAATTGTAAACAAATCATTCATTATTTTAGTGTGAGAATCAACCAATCTATTTTTGTTTTTACATAAACACAGGATTATAATATTGTATTTCGAACTGTAATTGCCCCTCAGTGGCACAGCAATATGTCTGCAGACTTCTGCTAGAAACCAGGTTTCAATACTCGTGTTGGGCAGAACACAGATAGCCCTTTATGTAGCTTAGCACTTAATAAAAAACAACTACAACTGTATTTGTGTTCTGATAGGAATTTTAAAAACAGTGCTTTTTGGAATTGCCAATTTCTTCATGACATTTTTATTTTTAATTTATCATTTTATAAACTTAATGACGTTGGAAAAAATATATTAGCACATGAATTATATTATAGACTTTTTCCTAAAATGTTTGGTACAATATTATACATTTTTGTCTACTTTTGAAGCTTTGTTGAAATGTTTGAAGGATTGCTCTGTTTCTCTCTATGTGGCCCAGTGGTTGGTGTGCAGTTCCATTGTTCTTGTCCTGTTATCACCAAAAACATTGTGCTCCACACTTAGGGGCCATAGGTGCATTATAAGGCTAATGGTAAAATTTCACTATTCACTCAGTTAAGACTAGTCCAAGAGCTGATGGTGGAATGCTTTCCCTTTTGTCTTCTAGAAAAAAATTAGGGACAGCTTTCTTAGATAGTTCTTGAGTAATTTTGTACAAATATATTAAAAGAAGTTTCTCTCTGTATATCTGATTAGAATTTTGATACAATCATGCATTGTCTTTTTTTTATAATTGTAATTACAGAAAGCAATGAACATTTACATACATAAATGCATTGATTTGGTCATAAGAAGACTGGATACAAATGATTATTTGAAGAAAGAACATACTAATAAGGTCAAACAAGTAGTAGGAGGTAGAAATATATATGTGAAATTAAATTAAGGCCCAACGCTGTCAATAGAATTTAAATTACAAAGGTATTTGAAAAAAGTTGTAACTGAGAGTATACAAAGAAATTAGATTAGTTGGTTTGCCTAAATTTCATTAATTGAATGTTCCTGTAAGACCAGTAGTTTCAACTATTTTACTTATAAACTATCAGATTTTCTAGTAAATTTTACAGATAATGATCATACTCTTAAATAGGTAGTTTTGAGTTTTCAAATTCTGTACAAAGTGTGGTATTCTCCACATTATTATTAGGTAGTTTATAAAGGGAGGATCAATCAGGAAAACTGAAGTAAATCTGAATTTAACTAAAGGACTGAGTTTTAAGCTAAGAAATAAACAAATTTTTTCATTTGATATCATGTATCCAATCTTTATTTATATTGCAAAACAAAGACACATTGTGCATATTTGAAAGAACACATATTTTGTGATGTGAAAGAATTAGAAACAAATATATTTATGTTAAATAATTTATCCTTATAAGATTGTCAGATAGCTGCCATTTAACTAGAAAATTAAGGAGAGAATAAATGGGGAACACAATAGAATTTTAGTTTTAACTCACTGAGAAAATGCTGTTATGAAGTACTAAATTTATTATTTTCACTTTTTTTCTATGTTATAAACATTTATATGGATTACACCCACTTTGACTTTTGTAATGATAAATTTTAAGAGCTGTATATTGAGATTCTCAGAATTTGAATAAGTTTGTTTGTTTGTTTTG